CAGAGCCGGAACCAAGGCTGAAGGTGTAACCCTGTGACGACCGCTGCGTAGCCTGGTCGTCAGCCCAAGAAGCGTTTGCGTGCCCAGTGAGGACCACTGGACTGCGCCCTCCAAGCACTAGCCCCATGCCCGACGTACTGCACAAGTAGCGCAACACCCTCTTCGCTGCAGCCATGTGCTCTGGTCGGTGTCTCCCAGGAGCAAAAAAGCGTGCGAGAATGCTAAGAGGGTATGCGAGGTCAGGTCGTGTGCAGGTCATCAGGTACATGAGGCAGCCAACAAGCTCTGCAAACGGGCCACTCGACTCTACGGACTCATCCGAAGGCAGAGCTGAGAGCGAGTGGCGAGTAGGCAGAGGAGTGGCCTGAGGCGAGGAGTACGTGAAGCCGAAGCGCTGAAGGACCTGCTGCACCATGTGTGACTGAGTCAGGGTAATGGTGCGGCGTGCTCTGTCCCGGGTGATCTGCAAGCCAAGGTAGCTGCGCAGTTCACCCAGGTCTGTGCACGTGTGTCTCTTCTGCAGCTCGGACTTCACGTAGGCGAGTCCAGCAGTGTCAGCTGTGGCAAAGACCAAGTCGTCGACGTACACGAGGATGTAGAACGGCGGCAGAGAGGTGTCGGTGCGCAGAAACAGCGACGGGTCGGCAGTGGAAGGAGCAAACCCAAGTGCCGCGAGCGTAGTCCTCAGTGTGTCGTGCCACTCACGTGGCGCCTGGCGGAGACCGTAGACTGGACGCCGGAGACTCCACTGGGTACCAGGAGGGAAAGACCCAGTGAAGCCAGGTGGGCGACGCAGCCAGATCTCCTCGTGCAGGCTACCCTGCAGGAACGCAGTGCTGAAGTCGAGAGAGTGAAGCTCGTAGTCGCGCTGAGCGGCAATGTGCAGCAGCACCCGAAGAGTGGTCATCTTCGGGGTGGGAGAGAAGGTCTGAAAGTAGTCAACTCCCTGCCGCTGACTGAAGCCACGAGCCACGTAACGCGCCTTGAAGACAGGCGGCGAGCCCGGCGGCCGCTTCACCTTGAAGATCCACATGCCACTGACGATGTTCGCCCCAGGAGGGGGAACCGCGTCAACGTAGGTGCCTGTGGACTTCCAGGAAGCCATCTCTGCATCCATAGCTGCCTGCCACTGAGAGGAGTAGGGACCCTCTACGGCCTCCGCGTAAGAACGCGGAGTCGGGATGTCTAGTGCATCCGGGTCTCCCTCAGGGGCTAGCAGTACAGACGCGAGACGAGGTGAAGCAGCGGCTAGACACTGGAACTCCTCCTGCCTGTCCTCTAGGACGTCCGTGCCAAGGGCACACTCACCCCCGACGGACGGAGGACAGGCGGACTCTGACTCAGCGACAAGACGAGCAGCGTAGTCTAGACGACAGCGCGCAGCAAAGTCGACAAGCTCAGTGACAAGGGCAGACGCAGCAGACGACTCGAAGGAAGGGTCAGTGACAGCAGTAGCAAGGAGACGCGTGACAGTAGGACTGGCAGCACGAAGAGAGTCCGACTCCGGGTCGGCAAGAGTAGGAAGAGAGGAAGCAGGAGGAGAAGGCAAAGGGGCACGCAGAGGAGCAGTGGACGGACGCAGTGACATCCGGTGCGTGCCAGGGACAGGAGGAGGACGCTGACGCGACCCGCGACCACTAGCGCGCTCAGTACGAACAGGCGACGCAGGACGAGACGCAGGCTCACGACGCTCAGTAAGGCCTCCAGTCGGACCAGCGTAGGGAGAAGGAGCAGGCAAAGGGGAGGCAGGCTCTAGCTGTGGCTGTGACCGGACAGGCTGCGGACCCTCTAAGGGAGGAGGAGGAGGAGGAGCAAGACCAAGAACCTGCTCCAGGAGCGGAACGAAGTACGGTCGAGACCGCGCGGCGACGCCAGAAACAGCAGGAACAGAACCAGCAGCTCCGGCCGGAGCACCCACTCCAGCAGCACCTCCAGCAGAACCACCAGAAGCTCCAGAACCTCCAGCAGCAGCACCAGGAGCACCGTCAGTCGGACCACCAACCGCAGGCTCAGCGCCAACATCCTCAGCAGGACCAGCTCCAGGAGAACCCTCAGACCCAGCAGCTCCAGCACCCACAGGACGAGCACCGCCAGGTCGCGTGGCAGCAGCGCCCTCCGCAGCCGAAGAACCACCAGCACCAGCGGCATGCCTCCAGCGCCGGGCAAACCACTCACGCAGCTCCTGTGGAGAGAGCGGCTCCCGGCGAGACGAAGCACCTCCAGGCACAGCACCTCCAGGCTCGGCACCTCCAGGCTCAGCACCCCCAGGCTCAGCACCCCCAGGCTCAGTACCCCCAGACACAGCACCCCCAGGCACAGCACCCCCAGGCTCAGCACCCCCAGGCACAGCACCCCCAGGCTCAGCACCCCCAGGCCCAGCACCCCCAGACTCCGCACCCCCAGGCTCAGCACCCCCAGGCTCAGCACCCCTAGACTCCGCACCCCCAGGCTCAGCTCCCGCAGCAGCACCGGAGTCACCAGTGACCTCGACAGGCTCGACCGCGTCTACCTGAGACACACCTGAAGGGGCAGGACCCAGAGGGGGGAGGGGGACTACTGGGGGGGGACCTGGTACCAAGAAGAGCGGGGGTGGGGGGAGGGACGGAGTGCGGTAGGGGAAGAGGCGGTAGTAGGGTACCGACTCGTCGAACGTGACGTCCTGGGAGGACAGAACACGTCGAGAGGTGGGGTGGTAAAACTGCCACCCAGGGGCGTCGGGGGGGAACCCGAGGAAGACGCAGGGAGAAGCACGAGGGGACAGCTTGTCCGCAGACAGGTCGCGAACAAACGCCCGAGATCCCCAGACCCGGAACGCCGACGCATCGCCAACCTTCCCCGTCCACAACAGAGCTGGGGAGGTCTCCGGTCGAGAGACCCTGGGGTGGAGGTTGATCTGGTGCGCAGCGTACCTGACCGCAAACGGCCACAGAAAATGGGGAGCAGCCGCATGCATCATGGACGTACGAGCGACGTCCATGACCATGCCAATGCGGCGCTCAGCGATCCCATTCTGCTGTGGTGAGTCCGGAAGCGTGAAGGTCTGACGGATGCCTCGCACACGACAGTAGGCACTCAGGAGGGCAGAGGAGAACTCTCCGCCTCTGTCCGAGTGCAGACGCAAGACAGGGAAGTCAGAGCCAAAGCTTCTCCGAAGCTGAAGACGAGCTGCGCGGATCCAGTCGATCAACACCTGAGTGACCTCACCCTTGCCGCGCAAGGGGAAGACTGTGGTGTAACGCGAGTAGTCGTCAACCACCAGCAGGAAGTAGCGCTCCTGACCCTGTCCACGGACGCGGGCTGGGCCCCACACGTCCATGTGAAGCGTCTGCAACGGGGCCTCTGTCGGAGGAAACTGGGAGGAGTGAGGGGCAGCACGCTGGCGCCCCTCGACACAGGGGACACAGGCAGGGCCAGGGCCCGGAGGAAGGGGAGGGAGGGACCGGGGAAGACCAGACACAAGGACCCGCGAGGCCATGCCTCTGAGCCGAAGCAGAGAGGGGTGGCCAAGGCGGTGGTGCCAGAGGAGGGTCTCGTGAGACAGACGACGACACGAACAAGGGGCAGACTCAGGACCAGACCTGGACGCTGCAGCAAACACCTGACCAGACGAAGGGGCCCTACCAGACGCAGTACCTGGAGGAGAAGCAGTGGTCAGTGTGTACAGGCTCGACCCCGGCCGACGTGTAAACGTAGCCAGGTGGCGACCTGTATCCGCCTCCGTACAGTGGGTCACCCGCTGACGAGCAGGGGTGAACTGGTGGACACCTGCATCCTGGAGGTCAGCACCACTCACCAAGTTCGTCGAGAACGAGGGGAGGTAGAGACCAGTCAGGGTGCCAGAGGGGGCCGCCGGACACGGGAGGACAGTGGAGAAGCGAGACAGGACAGGCCCCCCAGAGGGGTCCGCCAGGGACACCGCAACAGGCCGACTCAGCGGCGTGAGAGTGGTGCGGTCCCTAAAGAAGGAGCGAGACGCTCCAGAGTCAAGGGTGATGGTGTGAGAGGCCGAAGCCGACACAGTATCTGAGAGGGCGGACTCACCAGTACCTGAAAGCACAGACGCACTGACACCTAGAGCAGCAGCCTCACTAGTACCTGACGCGGCAGTACCAATGCCCGGGTCGGGCGGGAAACACCGGTAACAGTCATCCTCATCACTACCAATCGCAGCATACATAGCAGAGAGAATAGCATCAAAATCAAGATCATAAATAGCTACACCAGCCCTAGACAGCTCTCCCCAGCGGGGGATCTCAGCGGCCTCCGGAAACTGCTGACGCCAGGCGTCGGTCAGGCGGCCAAAGCAGCGACGGGCTGTGTGGGCGCCTCCACACCTCTCCCCTGCACGGTCACCAGTGCGAAGAACGTAGGGGCAGGGACCAAGCGCACCACCGCGCTGACGCTGCAAGTACCACTCACGGAGCTGCTGAGGGCCGGGGACGGTGCGAGAGCGCTGCTGCTGCTGCGGCTGCTGCTGCGGCTGCTGCTGCTGCTGCTGCTGCTGGCGCTGACCACCCCCAGAGCTGCTCCGCTGGGACGAGCCACTCCGACCCCCTCCTCCACCGCCACCCCCGCCTCCACCGCCACCCCCGTCGCCACCGCCACCTCCCCCATCAGGACCGTCGCTCCCACCGCTCCCACCGCCTCCTCCGCTACCACCTCCGCCGCCACCTCCGCCTCCACCGCCGCCACTACTACCTCCACTCCCGCCACCACCCCCCCCGCCACCCCCACTCCCCCCTCCACCCCCACCGCCTCCTCCACCGCCCCCTCTGGCTCCACCCGCTCCCTTGCCCCCCTTGCCCTTGCCAGTGCGGCGTCTGCCACTGGGGGCAGACGCCGCGCCGACCGACTCAAAACCAACGAGGTCGGCCGCAGCGGCAGAGGCGACAGAGGGCAGCAGGGGGGAGGGACCACACCCCTCAAAGATGGGGGTGCGAGGGTCACCCCGAGAGGCCCCTACAGCGACAATACTCTTCTCAGCCGCTAGCAGGGACTCCTCAAGGAGGTCGACAGTGAGAGTGGTGGGACAGACAGAGAGAAACTGGTCCCTAACGACACGAAGGGACTCAGGGAGACGGGTGACGAGAAAGTAGAGAGTGATGTACATGGGAGGAGGGTTCGCAGCGCGGAACTCAGCAGGAAGGGCAGCGCGGTAGCGGGTGTCACCAGCGCGGAGGTGGGTAACGAGGTCAGCGACAGTGGGAAAGGAAGCGAGGTCAGGGAAGAGAAACGGTAGCATGAGGCGGCTAAGGGTAGCGGAGGAAGGGGAGGAGTAGCGCGCAACTACAGCGTCGTACAAGGCCTGAGCGGTCTTGCACTGACTAAAGTGGGCACGCTCAGAGGAAGGGAGGTGGCGACGCACAGCAAGACGTGCAGCAGCATCGCGGGTCGCCCACTTGGAGCGAACGGCAGAGTCAGCATCAGCAGGCGGGGCAGGGACAGCGCCAGAGACAAAGTCAAAGAGAGAGACCTCATCTACCGCATCACACAGTAAGTATAGCTGCAGGTCCTCGATCCAGACGGCAAAGTCAATGGCCCTCCCCTCAGCGTCAAAAGTGAGAACATTGGGGGTGGCCATGGCAGCAGCTGAAAGTCTCACCGGGATGGGAGAGTCGGGTAGGTCAGCAGCAGGCGGCTCGGGCTGCTCGGGCGGCTCGGGCGGCTCGGGCGGCTCGGGCGACTCGGGCGGCTCGGGCGGCTCGGGCGGCTCGGGCGGCTCAGGTACCGGGCGGCTCGGCTGCTGCTGGGCGGCTCGGCTGCTGCAGGGCGGCTCGGCTGCTGCTGGGCGGCTCGGGTGCAGTGTAGTGGCGGGGCCGGGACAAGGGACGGCGGGGCCGTCAGGGTGCAGCGGTGGGGCCGAGACAGGGGACGGCGGGGCCGTCAGGGTGCAGTGGCGGAGCCGGGACAGGCGCAGTGGCGGGGCCGCAGGGTGCAGCGGCGGGCCGTCAGGATGCAGCGGAGGGCCGTTGGAAGCACCCGCGGCTGAGCAGGCTGCGGGGCCGCGTCGTAGGAGGCGGCAGGGCCGCGGCTGAGCAGGCGGCAGAGGCCGCGTCGTAGAGGGCGGCGGGGCCGCGGCTGAGCAGGCGGCGGAGGCCGCGTCGTAGCGGGCGGCGGGGTCGCGGCTGAGCAGGCGGCGGAGGCCGCGGCGTCTGCAGGCGGCGGAGGCCGCGTCGTAGAGGGCGGCGGGGCCGCGGCTGAGCAGGCGGTTAGGCCGCGTCTTAGCAGGCGGCGGGGCCGCGTCTTAGCAGGCGGCGGGGCCGCGTCTTAGCAGGCGGCGGGGCCGCGTCCGAGTAGGCGGCGGGGCCGCGACTGGGTGGCGGGGCCGCGTCTTAGTGGCGGGGCCGCGACTTAGTGGCGGGGCCGCGACGTAAGGGCGGGGCCGCGACGTAAGGGCGGGGCCGCGACTGGACGGCGGGGCCGCGAACGAAGGGCGGCGGGGCCGCAGGGGAAGGGCGACTCGGGGGGGCCGCTAAAAAAAAGAGGATCGCGCGCCTCGGGGCGCGCTTCGGTGGGCCCTAGGCGAAGTTCCCACAGGGAACCCGCTCTATACCATGTGAAAGGAATGAACAGGAATGAATTGACTAAGTCAGAGTTGGGTACAAATACAACCCTAGCAAACTGTACCCCATATGTGCTACCCCACTATAGCCTACAAACATGCATCAGCTATAATAATCTGACAGGTAGGAAATAAATTCATATAGTGAACGTAAGGGTTGGAAAGGTAACTAACGCACATGTGTAGAGAAAATGGTGCATCGGCCAGTCTGGCCGGCATTTCGCACTTATAGTGCAAGTAGGGCCAAGGAGAACGGAAACGCTCATTTCTCAAAAAGTAAAGGGAATCTAGCGGTCTCACTCGATCAGAAGGTGGGAAATATATAAATCTAGTGAGCTAATAAGGTTTGGAAGGAATCTAATGCATATGTATATGGAAAGTGGTGCATTGGCCAGGTCGGTCAGTATGGGAACTTAGAGTGCAAATGCCTGGGAGAACGGAACCGCTCAGATCTCGCATAGTACATGGAATCTAGTGGTCTCACTCAAATAGAAGGTAGGAAATAAATTCATATAGTGAACGTAAGGGTTGGAAAGGTAACTAACGCACATGTGTAGAGAAAATGGTGCATCGGCCAGTCTGGCCGGCATTTCGCACTTATAGTGCAAGTAGGGCCAAGGAGAACGGAAACGCTCATTTCTCAAAAAGTAAAGGGAATCTAGCGGTCTCACTCGATTAGAAGGTGGGAAATATATAAATCTAGTGAGCTAATAAGGTTTGGAAGGAATCTAATGCATATGTATATGGAAAGTGGTGCATTGGCCAGGTCGGTCAGTATGGGAACTTAGAGTGCAAATGCCTGGGAGAACGGAACCGCTCAGATCTCGCATAGTACACGGAATCTAGTGGTCTCACTCAAATAGAAGGTAGGAAATAAATTCATCTAGTGAACGTAAGGGTTTGAAAGGTAACTAACGCACATGTGTAGAGAAAATGGTGCATCGGCCAGTCTGGCCGGCATTTCGCACTTATAGTGCAAGTAGGGCCAAGGAGAACGGAAACGCTCATTTCTCAAAAAGTAAAGGGAATCTAGTGGTCTCACTCGATCAGAAGGTGGGAAATATATAAATCTAGTGAGCTAATAAGGTTCGGAAGGAATCTAATGCATATGTATATGGAAAGTGGTGCATTGGCCAGGTCGGTCAGTATGGGAACTTAGAGTGCAAATGCCTGGGAGAACGGAACCGCTCAGATCTCACATAATACACGGAATCTAGTGGTCTCACTCAAATAAAAGGTAGGAAATATATTCATCTAGTGAACGTAAGGGTTTGAAAGGTAACTAACGCACATGTGTAGAGAAAATAGTGCATCGGCCAGTCTGGCCGGCATTTTGCACTCATAGTGCAGGTGGTGCCAGGGAGAACGGAAACGCTCGTTTCTCAAAAAGTAGAGGGAATCTAACGGTCTCACTCAATCAGAAGGTGGGAAATATATAAATCTAGTCAGCTAAAAAGGTTTGAAATGTATTCAACGCACATGTATAGAGAAAATGGTGCATTGGCCAGGTCGGTCAGTATCGGAACTTAAAATGCAAATGCCAGGGAGAACGGAAGCGCTCAGATCTCGCATAGTACGCGGAATCAAGTGGTCTCACTCAAATAGAAAGTAGGAAATATATTCATCTAATGAACGTAAGGGTTTGAAAGGTAACTAACGCACATGTGTAGAGAAAATTGTGCATCGGCCAGTCTGGCCGGCATTTCGCACTTATAGTGCAACTAGGGCCAAGGAGAACGGAAACGCTCATTTCTCAAAAAGTAGAGGGAATCTAGCGGTCTCACTCGATCAGAAGGTGGGAAATATATAAATCTAGTGAGCTAATAAGGTTCGAAAGGAATCTAATGCATATGTATATGGAAAATGGTGCATTGGCCAGGTCGGTCAGTATAGGAACTTAGAGTGCAAATGCCTGGGAGAACGGAACCGCTCAGATCTCGCATCATACACGGAATCTAGTGGTCTCACTCAAATATAAGGTAGGAAATATATTCATCTAGTGAACGTAAGGGTTTGAAAGGTAACTAACGCACATGTGTAGAGAAAATGGTGCATCGGCCAGTCTGGCCGGCATTTCGCACTCATAGTGCAGGTGGGGCCAGGGAGAACGGAAACGCTCGTTTCTCAAAAAGTAGAGGGAATCTAACTGTCTCACTCAATCAGAAGGTGGGAAATATATAAATCTAGTCAGCTAAAAAGGTTTGAAATGTATTCAACGCACATGTATAGAGAAAATGGTGCATTGGCCAGGTTGGTCAGTATCGGAACTTAAACTGCAAATGCCAGGGAGAACGGAAGCGCTCAGATCTCGCATAGTACACGGAATCAAGTGGTCTCACTCATATAGAAAGTAGGAAATATATTCATCTAGTGAACGTAAAGGTTTGAAAGGTAACTAACGCACATGTGTAGAGAAATTTGTGCATCGGCCAGTCTGGCCGGCATTTCGCACTTATAGTGCAACTAGGGCCAAGGAGAACGGAAACGCTCATTTCTCAAAAAGTAGAGGGAATTTAGCGGTCTCACTCGATCAGAAGGTGGGAAATATATAAATCTAGTGAGCTAATAAGGCTCGAAAGGAGTCTAATGCATATGTATATGAAAAATGGTGCATTGGCCAGGCCGGTCAGTATGGGAACTTAGAGTGCAAATGCCAGGGAGAACGGAAGCGCTCAGATCTCGCATAGTACACGGAATCTAGTGGTCTCACTCAAATAGAAGGTAGGAAATAAATTCATCTAGTGAACGTAAGGGTTTGAAAGGTAACTAACGCACATGTGTAGAGAAAATGGTGCATCGGCCAGTCTGGCCGGCATTTCGCACTTATAGTGCAACTAGGGCCAAGGAGAACGGAAACGCTCCTTTCTCAAAAAGTAAAGGGAATCTAGCGGTCTCACTCGTTCAGAAGGTGGGAAATATATAAATCTAGTGAGCTAATAAGGTTCGGAAGGAATCTAATGCATATGTATATGGAAAGTGGTGCATTGGCCAGGTCGGTCAGTATGGGAACTTAGAGTGCAAATGCCTGGGAGAACGGAAGCGCTCAGATCTCGCATAGTACACGTAATCTAGTGGTCTCACTCAAATAGAAGGTAGGAAATAAATTCATCTAGTGAACGTAAGGGTTTGAAAGGTAACTAACGCACATGTGTAGAGAAAATGGTGCATCGGCCAGTCTGGCCGGCATTTCGCACTTATAGTGCAAGTAGGGCCAAGGAGAACGGAAATGTTCATTTCTCAAAAAGTAAAGGGAATCTAGCGGTCTCACTCGATCAGAAGGTGGGAAATATATAAATCTAGTGAGCTAATAAGTTGCGGAAGGAATCTAATGCATATGTATATGGAAAGTGGTGCATTGTGTCAGTAGATCTGCACTGTGGATGCCCGATCGATCCTACGGGGGCTTACAGGCGTGTTTGCCTGGGGGGTTCTGGGCGCACTCTGACCCGCTACTTAACAAGCCCTTTTATCCCAATGGTCTAGTGGTTGGGATTCTGAGATGGTATCAGAGCAGGTATATATATGTCACAGTACAAGTAAAGTCAAGAGGAGAGCAATTGAGGCAAGACAGGCACAAGACCCAGCTGGGTGCAGAAGCGCTGATGGTCACAAGGCGCGAGTGCCTTGGTGAACACATCAGCAGTGTTGGCCTCAGAGGCCACGTACGCAAGCCGCAACTGTCGACGCTGCTGCAGCTCACGAGCAAGGAAGTAGCGAAGAGCAATGTGCTTCGTTCTGTGCTCCAGACGCTGCTCTCGACACAAGGCCAGCATGGCCTTGTTGTCTACGTACAGCACTGGAGGAGAACGAGGCGGCTCTCCAAGGTCAGTCAGCAGGTAGGTGAGCCAGCGAAGCTCCTGTGCAGCCATGGCCCCGGCGTAGATCTCAGCCTCACAACTGGAGCTGAGAACCGAAGACGAACGAGTAGCCCGCCACGAGACAGAGCCGGAACCAAGGCTGAAGGTGTAACCCTGTGACGACCGCTGCGTAGCCTGGTCGTCAGCCCAAGAAGCGTCCGCGTGGCCTGTAAGGACCACTGGACTCCGCCCTCCAAGCACTAGTCCCATGCCCGACGTACTGCACAGGTAGCGCAATACCCTCTTCGCTGCAGCCATATGCTCTGGTCGGTGTCTCCCAGGAGCAACATAGCGTGCAAGAATGCTCAGAGGGTATGCAAGGTCAGGTCGTGTGCAGGTCATCAGGTACATGAGGCAGCCAACAAGCTCTGGGTACGGGCCACTCGACTCTACGGACTCATCCGAAGGCAGAGCTGAGAGCGAGTGGCGGGTAGACAGAGGAGTGGCCTGAGGCGAGGAGTACGTGAAGCCGAAGCGCTGAAGGACCTGCTGCACCATGTGTGACTGAGTCAAGGTGATGGTGCGGCGTGCTCTGTCCCGAGTGATCTGCAAGCCAAGGTAGCTGCGCAGTTCACCCAGGTCTGTGCACGTGTGTCTCTTCAGCAGCTCGGACTTCACGTAGGCGAGTCCAGCAGTGTCCGCTGTGGCAAAGACCAAGTCGTCGACGTACACGAGGATGTAGAACGGCGGCAGTGAAGTGTCGGTGCGCAGAAACAGCGACGGGTCAGCAGTAGACGGAGCAAACCCAAGAGCCGCAAGTGTAGTCCTCAGTGTGTCGTGCCACTCACGCGGTGCCTGGCGGAGACCGTAGAATGGCCGTCGGAGGCTCCACTGGGTGCCAGAAGGGAAAGTCCCAGTGAAGCCAGGTGGACGACGCAGCCAGATCTCCTCGTGCAGGCTACCCTGCAGGAACGCAGTGCTGAAGTCGAGAGAGTGAAGCTCGTAGTCGCGCTGAGCGGCTATGTGCAGCAGCACCCGAAGAGTGGTCATCTTCGGGGTGGGAGAGAAGGTCTGAAAGTAGTCAACTCCCTGCCGCTGACTGAAGCCACGAGCAACGTACCGCGCCTTGAAGACAGGTGGAGAGCCCGGCGGCCGCTTCACCCGGAAGATCCACATGCCACTGACGATGTTCGCCCCAGGAGGGGGAACTGCGTCAACGTAGGTGCCTGTGGACTTCCAGGAAGCCATCTCTGCATCCATAGCTGCCTGCCAC